GGCGAACATGAATATGTTGCGCGTGTGGGGCGGAGGGGTATACGAGTCGGACCTGTTTTACGAGTTGGCCGACGAGTTGGGTATAATGGTTTGGCAGGACTTGATGTTCGCCTGCGCTCCCTATCCCTCCGATCCAGAGTTCTTGCTGTCGGTGGACGTGGAGGTCGAGCAACAGGTGCGCCGACTGCAACACCACCCGTCCATTGCTATTTGGGCCGGTATTGTATTTTTAATTAACTAGGTTTTGATGTTTTTAATATTAAATTAATAGTACATTAGTTCAATAGTTATGTTTTATGTGCTATAGTTGTTAGTAAATATTAAACGAATTTGTATCTGGTTACATAATGGTTATTATATTTGGAGTATGATAGTTAAGCTAAAACTTATTTATTTAGCAATCAATTTGTTCATGTCATAATTTGTTAGCAATCAACCATTTGCAGTTATCAATCATTTTAAAGGGTTACACATAAAAACATTAAAAGTCAAAAATTATCAATTAAAACTAAAAATGCTAATTTTGATTACAATGACCTTTCTCTATTTAAGGCAATAACGAAATCGAAATGATAATGGCCGTCATATTTAAAGATCAGAGACATAAAGACGATTATTATGAGCTGTTTGTCAAGCATATTATGACCCGAGTGGACAGGGAGGACAGCACCCGACCCTTTGTTACGTCGAGTCCGTCCAACGGACTAAAAGATAAAGCATTTAATTACTCGTCCCCTCAGCCGGTGGACCCCCGATGGGGTGATATTCATTGGTACGACTACTGGTCCTCTTTGTGGGACTGGAAGGTCTATAAGAGCGCGAAGTTTGTCTCCGAATACGGCTTCCTATCGTATCCGTCGTTGGAGTCCTTATCCGAAGCACTTCCGGACAGTGATCTCACGTATCCGGTGGGACCGGGAGTTATGCACCGGAACCGATTGGGACTCGGAATGAATGGGACGACAATTATTCAAGATTCAATAGGTATGTATGATGGTGATAGCTGGGTGAATTTATTAACTATACCATGCAACTAACTACTACAACATGCAACATGCTACTTATTATGAATATTACAAAACTGTTTATAATTTACAATTTAGCCAAATATTTCAAACTCCCGGCGCACGGAGGGGTCGACAGAATCAATGATTTAATATATTTGTCGCAAATATTTCAAGGGATGGCTATTAAGACGGAAACAGAGTTTTTCCGTCGAAATAGAGAAGTGGATCCCAAGACTGGAGAGGGCTATACGATGGGTGCCCTGTACTGGCAACTCAATGACATATGGCAGGCGCCTACCTGGGCGTCCATAGAGTATGGCGGTAAATGGAAAGTATTGCAATCGTACGCCAGGCAATTTTTTGATAACCTATTGATAACCCCATATTTGGATAATAAAGTCATAAAAGTAAATGATTCATTTAAAATTTACAAGTTGGCCTAGATCATATTTGTAGAGCATTTGACTAAAGCATTTGATTTCAATTATAGGCGGCGTTAGTTCGCGACGACTATTACGGGGAACTGGAGCTCGACCTGTCTGTCAAAGTGATGCTGACCAGGGTTTTATTCGGTTAGATACTCGTGTTCAGATAGCAGTTTTCACCGTCGAAAAGCCGAGTTAATCACATATTGTATAGGCAACGACTGGACGTTTTCCTCCGTTTTACGTTTCCTTACGACTGCACCAGTGATTGGGTATTAAGTTTTGAAGTGACAAATACTGCCAAGAAGTTACAGGTTCAAATAAGTTCAAATAATTCAATTTCATAAATGCTAAATACTTTTTTGATTCACATATAAAGGCAAATAATTTCTTATTGCTATCGGAGCCGAAAACGTCAAAAATAGTAAAACCTAACATCAAAGTGGTTGATGTGAGACAGGGATCAGTTGCCGGTGGGACAGGTAGTCGTGGTTTTACGATAAGCCTTACGTCGGAAACGGTGGCGCCGTTTGTTTGGTTGGATTTGAAGCTAAAGTCCGGAATTAGCGGTCAGTTCATGGAAAACGGATTCTTTATATTTGACGGCAAAAAGTCTATAGTATTTGAGACCAACTCTAATGTCACGGAAACACAACTCAAAGATAATCTGCTCATCAAATCAGTTACCGATGTTATCGCATAGNTTTGATGGGCGAGTAAATCATTTATGGCAATTCTCAGTATGACATACAAATATTTTTATATTGAAATGGACAGATATTTCATGTGTATAATAACTAGAAATGTATGATTTTAGTGACTCAATACTATTAATAGTACTAATATATTTAATTTGCTTGATTCATTTCTCGTTTATAATAGACTGCACTAAAGGCGCTGACAATGAATGCTATTATGATTTTATCCGAAAAATGGCCTCTTCTTACAGTTGGGATTGGGTTCGTACGACATGTCAATCCCCTTCCCTTTCCATCCCACATAATATTTCAAACTTTGAAATTCAAAGTCTCCTTAACTACAGGGGCCGGCATTTCCCACACAAGGCATATGGAAACCCATTGGCATCGAGGCGTACGATAAGGCAGTCCTCCGGGACGTAATGGTCGACACAAAACCCGACACTAAAAATAGCTCTCAATGGGTGCTGACAGTCAGTACGTACGTGGAGTCGGCATCACTGAAACAAATCGACACAATACTCGACATCTCATTGGACGACAAAATCTTAGTTTCAAAACAGAAACACAGTTTGAAAACCGATTTACTCGGATCCGTGAAACTAGATATCGTGATCCCTATCCCACAGGACATACCTATCTCTGCCTGGTATCCAAATGGTGTGGCCAACGGTACGCAACAGTTATACAAACTGCTGGTTGACCTGTCGTTCCCCGACAGCACCGAAAAGTCCACTCAAACCAAACGAATCGGTTTCCGGACCGTACGACTCGTACAAAATCCTACGGCCGGCGATGGACTCACCTTTTACTTCGAGGTAAACGGAGTTCCCTTTTTTGCCAAAGGCTCCAATTGGATACCGGCGCACGTGTTGATGGAAGACTTAACGGAGGAGTACGTGGGGCACCTACTGGTGTCGGCCCGGGAGGCCAATATGAATATGTTGCGCGTGTGGGGCGGAGGGGTATACGAGTCGGACCTGTTTTACGAGTTGGCCGACGAGTTCGGTATAATGGTTTGGCAGGACTTGATGTTCGCCTGCGCTCCCTATCCCTCCGATCCAGAGTTCTTGCTGTCGGTGGACGTGGAGGTCGAGCAACAGGTGCGCCGACTGCAGCACCACCCGTCCATTGCTATTTGGGCCGGTATTGTATTTTTAATTCACTAGGTTTTGATGTTTTTAATATTAAATTCATAGTACATTAGTTCAATAGTTATGTTTTATGTGCTATAGTTGTTAGTAAATATTAAACGAATTTGTATCTGGTTACATAATGGTTATTATATTTGGAGTATGATAGTTAAGCTAAAAACTTATTTATTTAGCAATCAATTTGTTCATGACATAATTTGTTAGCAATCAACCATTACCAATTATCAATCATTTTAAGGGGTTACACATAAAAACATTAAAAGTCAAAAATTATCAATTAAAACTAAAAATGCTAATTTTGATTACCTTTCTCTGTTTAAGGCAATAACGAAATCGAGTGGTTAATGGGAATCGGGATGATATCTAAAGATCAGAGACATAAAGACGATTATTATGAGCTGTTTGTCAAACATATTATGACCCGAGTGGACAGGGAGGACAGCACCCGACCCTTTGTTACGTCGAGTCCGTCCAACGGATTAAAAGATAAAGCCTTTAATTACTCGTCTCCCCAGCCGGTGGACCCCCGATGGGGTGATATTCATTGGTACGACTACTGGTCCTCTTTGTGGGACTGGAAGGTCTATAAGAGCGCGAAGTTTGTCTCGGAATACGGCTTCCTATCGTATCCATCGTTGGAATCCTTATCCGAAGCACTTCCGGACAGTGATCTCACTTATCCGGTGGGACCGGGTGTTAGACACCGGAACCGATTGGAACTCCTCGGAATGAATGGGACGACAATTATTCAAGATTTAATAGGTATGATGGTCATAGCTGGGTGCATTTATTAACTATACCATGCAACTAACTTATAAATGCTACTTATTATGAATATTACAAAACTGTTTATCATTTATAATTTAGCCAAATATTTCAAACTCCCGGCGCACGGAGGGGTCGACAGAATCAATGATTTAATATATTTGTCGCAAATATTTCAAGCGATGGTTATTAAGACGGAAACAGAGTTTTATCGTCGAAATAGAGAAGTGGATCCCAAGACTGGAGAGGGCTATACGATGGGTGCCCTGTACTGGCAACTCAATGACATATGGCAGGCGCCTACCTGGGCCTCCATAGAGTATGGCGGTAAATGGAAAGTATTGCAATCGTACGCCAGGCAATTTTTTGATAACCTATTGATAACCCCATATTTGGATAATAAAGTCATTAAAGTAAATGATTCATTTAAAATTTAAAATTTACAAGTTTGCCTAGGTCATATTTTTGGAGCATTTGACTAAAGCATTTGATTTCAAATATAGGCGGCGCTAGTTCGCGACGACTATTACGGGGAACTGGAGCTCGACTTGTCTGTCAAAGTATACGACTGGTCCCAAAATAAGCCAATCTATGAGCACAAGTCTATCGTCAAAAGTGGCAGCTTTTCGGCTCAATTAGTGTATAACATATCCGTTGCTGACCTGCAAAAGGAGGCAAAATGCAAAGGAANTCAATTAGTGTATAACATATCCGTTGCTGACCTGCAAAAGGAGGCAAAATGCAAAGGAAACGACTGCACCAGTGATTGGGTATTAAGTTTTGAAGTGACAAATACTGCCAAGAAGTTACAGGTTCAAATAAGTTATTTTAATTCAATTTCATAAATGCTAAATACTTTTTAAATTCACATATAAAGGCAAATAATTTCTTATTGTTATCGGAGCCGAAAACGTCAAAAATAGTAAAACCAAACATCAAAGTGGTTGATGTGAGACTGGGATCAGTTGCCGGTGGGACAGGTAGTCGTGGTTTTACTATAAGCCTTACGTCGGAAACGGTGGCGCCGTTTGTTTGGTTGGATTTGAAGCTAAAGTCCGAAATTAGCGGTCAGTTCGTGGAAAACGGATTCTTTATATTTGACGGCAAAAAGTCTATAGTATTTGAGACCAACTCTAATGTCACGGAAACACAACTCAAAGATAATCTGCTCATCAAATCAGTTACCGATGTTATCGCATAGAAATTTATTTAATAAACTAAATCATGTTTATAAACTTTTTTGATCAACATTTATAAGTGATTAAAAATTAAAAATGTTAAATATATAAATCTTAAATTTATTAATAAATCTGGGTTATTTATACCTAATGATTCTAGTATAACATTACTCGATTATTAGCACGGCAAAATATTTAAAATGTTAAAAATATCACTTGCATAAATATTAAAAATTCTCAAATACAGAGCATCATGGTAAGATAAATTATTATTCTGAATTTGCCGAGGCCTTTGCAGTATTATAGCCAACACCGCCAGCTATATGTCCGCCGTCCACAAGCATATGAGTTCCCGTTATAAACGACGACTCGGGGGCCGACAGGAATAGGACGGCCTGAGCCACGTCCTCAACCACACCACACCTCCCGACCGGCAACTTATTGGCCATACCTTTAGCTATGACTTTCGGGTCAACACCTGTCGATTTGAGGAAATCCGTTTCGATAACACTCGGACTATAGAGGAAATGGATTCAAACGAGTTGTATTGATTGAGTAATTGTATTGCTGTTTGTTTGTGAGTGTGTGAAACATACTTAACACTATTGACACGAATGCCTTTCCCTCCCAACTCAACGGCCATATATCTGGTGAACATATCGCCCGCAGTCCTGGCCATACCGTACGGCGCACTTAGACTGGCCTATTCATAAAGTACGCACAATACTAGTGCTTATTTACGATGTGCTAATTAAATGTATGGGAAAGACATTACCGATTGAGTACTCCTTATGCTCGACATATTAATGATGACACCCCGGGTCTTCTCCAGGTGCCCGACGCACAGGTATGTCATAAACACAGCCATATCCAAGTCCACGCGCATAGTAAGGCGATAGGCCTCCATAAATGACGGATTAGTAATGCCGACAAACTTGACTGGCATACCGGCGCAGTTGAACAGTACGTCTATTTTGCCTAATTTTTCAATAGTCTGGTCGACCAAAGCCCGGGCCTCATCCTCGTGGGTCAGATCGACCGCCATTTCTAATACTTTTGCGCCCAAACTTCGGCACCGGTTGGCCACCGCTGAGAGCCCGGAGTCGGCGTACAGTCCGGTCACCACTACGTCGGCACCCG